TAGGCCTTACTCTTAGGTGGGGCACCTCCGCAATGCGCAATTGGATGGATACAATAAAGAAAAATGCTTGGGAGCACTAATTAGTGCTCCCACTAATTAGGTGGCAGTGGGTCCCGTCATGAAATTTGGGGTCTCTAGCATTACTCAATATTTTATATTTTATAATTTTTTTAAAAATATTTTTTCTTCAAGACACTTATTAAAAATAAAGACCGTTATAATAATCATCATTGCACTCTTATAATATAAGATAAATGTTCAATCAATTGACTTACTCTTAGGTGGAGCACCTCCGCAATGCACAATTGGATGGATACAATAAAAGGAGTAGGAACATTATTGGTACTTTTTTTAATGTTTTTTCCCCCCTTTTTCTTAAACAACACATATTTTGTGTTTGCATTAATTTAAAAAGTCATTTTAAATTTTAAATTTTTTATTATTATAATTTTTTTTGAGTTTACAGAGGTTTTGGGGTGAGTTTTTTACTTTTTCACAAAAAAAAAAAAAAAAAGTAACTCAATTAACAAAGCTAAAAAAAAGTTGATAGTAAACGAGTAATTTAAGTCACTCTCGAATTTTAGTTAAGAATGAAATAATTAATCACAATTAACGGAAAGAAAGATTTCATGACAAATTTAGGGTAATAAAAAAATTGAAAAAAGGTATAATTACGAAAATTTTATAAATTTAAAATGAAAATAAAGATAAGGAATGTGTACATGCATGCAGTTAACATGGAAACTAGATGGTTAAAGACCATTCTTGAAAAAGAATAGCAATATCATTAGCAGGGAATATGATTTTCATTTTTATATCTTGTATTTTTATTTTATTTGCCACACCAATTGCCTAATGTAGCACAAGCTTTGTTTGGGAGAAAAAAAATTGTACATGTACATTGAGCAAAAACGACTTTGAACTGAGGCTATGTTTGACATAAATGGTTTGGATTAAAATAGTCACAAAAAGATAAAATAGGTTAAAAGTCAATAAGACAAAATATCACATCCAAACCATAATTATTTTATTTTCTCTCACAAAAGTTAAAAAAAAAAAAACTCATCACAAACGAGACTTTTTAATCTCATATCTAAAAAGTCAATTCACATCTCAAACGAAGGCTGAATATACAAAATAACAGATGACAGAGCTTCTTCTATTCAAATTCACAAACCAATTTTTTGACGGCCATTCTGGCTAAACGGCTATTCTATTTGGTTTAATTTTGAAAAAATTATTTTTAATGGTTTTTTTTAGTGGAAAATTTTATATTTTAATCATTTTTTTTTTGATGCACCTAATATAAATATTTTTTAAAAATTGTGATTAAAATATTAAAAAAAATTCATTGAAAAAAAATCCATCTAAAAGCACATAAATTTTTGTTTGGGCCTTCTTTTGTTTTTAGCAAATTTTTTTCATATTTTAGTCATTCTTTTTTACTTTTTAAAAGGATCTAAATTAGTTATATTTAAAAAGTTAAAAAAAATAAAAAATCACTAAAAAAAAAACTCATTTAAAAATATTTTTTTTTAATAATCAAATCAAACAAATTTACTTTGTTCATACTTGTATATTCACATTATCTGCATTCATTTTAATTTTTTTTAATTTTATTAAAAAAAATGATAGGTATAATTATGCCAACAATATGAAATTTATAATATTTTTTCTTAAATTTTCTATTTTTTATATTTTTTATGTGCACAACATCCCAGCAGAGGCACAAAGTCCTGAGATGCATTACCTACGTCTGTATCGAGGCTTTGACTAAGTTGTACGACATAGGGCCTTTTGGAAAGTAACTTTTTATTCAATTTTCAATTTTATATCTATTTTAAATCACATCATCTCTCATATTTTTTATTTATAAAAAGATAAAATAAATTAAAAATTTCCAAAACACTTCGGTGCTGTTTGGTAATGCTCACGTTTTCAGTTTTCTGTTTATATTTATAAAAATTTTAAAAACTCAAATAAAAACTTGTTTGGTAAAATTTTTGATTTATAAATCAGCGGTCTCAGTTTATAAATTTGGTCAAAAAATAAAAATACAGAAAATGTGTTTCCATTTTGAGTTTTCAATTTTTTTTTT